TTCAGTGGATACTCCTTTTTGAAGTCCAAAAGAACTCATTGGCCTGGTTGCCCTTCTCATTGGTCTCTCCTCGTTGCGGAGCTCTAAGGCGTCGTACAAGCGTTCCATGCCATGGTAGGTCACCTCACCATACCTGCAGCGAGGAAGAGCATGTTTGGGGTCGAAAGTGACAAAACCAGCCGAAATCCCGCCATTGATTGGGCCTCATGGAGGAACGTCGAAGTCGAAGATGAACGCCCTCATTGTGAGGAACTTCAATTGTTTAGTAATGCCATTCTCCCTATATAGAACTCATGTTAGTTGAACTGCTTGACTTGAGTTGATCTTGACCTTGGAGACAAGGTTCAGCTTTAGCAAAATGGAGGATTTTTCAAACGACATGGACGGGTGGATTGCGACAAGTTAAGGCAGCAGTAGCACAAGTTAAGTGATTCGCAAAGGGTGAGACTTGGTAGGTGATATGTGCTGATAAAGCTAAGTGTAGTCATACAACCTTTCCAAAAAGACTTGTATGAGTAGTGGTTACTTCCTCACAACAATGAATTCGTGCGACCAAGGAAGAACATGGTGTTCCTAGGAAAGTCTGTCTCAAAAGTCGAACTTTGGATCATTCCATTCGATTCGGGAACTTCAAAGCGTGAAGATATCTGCATTGATGCATCTACGCTGTCAGCAGTTTATCACATACTGTCACAAAATCAAAAACGAAGCCTGCTCCAGTGCGGGCAGGTGCATTGAAACCAAAGTTAATCAGATTTCATGTCTCAGGACATGCCGCACCTCAATAGGCTGGGGTGCTACTACTGACATGTCAAAGTGGTTTGGCACAGGGCCGACACCTCCACAGGTACGACACTTCCGCAAGACAATCCAAAATCACCGATAACATAAAGGTTTTCCTTGGCACAATGCTCTTCATACATGTTGCTGTAAGTTAGCACGATCGATGTTCTCCTCAGTGCTGTCGGTACCAAAGCCAGAATTTACTTTGGCAAAGATCTTCTGGAGCAAAGCTACTGCATCCTGGGCTGAACATGTCTCTCTCAAGGCGGTGGCTGAACATGTCTCTCAACTTCACCAGTCCATGCAAAGGCACTTGCTGAAGTACGTTTGAAGAATCAACCCTCGAACTATCTCGCATTCATGAGGTTGGATTGGGGAAATCACAACAGAAGTGCCTCGGCTTTATACAAGCAGAACTGCCTCGGCCCCCGATCAATACGCGTCTAACGCATGGGGATCAAGATTGAAATGCCTCTTCGTGATCCCAGTCAGATTTGAACGAGCGGGCACCCCTTCAAGAGGTTGTTGAAAACCAAGTCTTCCCAACCTTAGAAACTGTGAGGTGGCTAGGTCCAAAAATCTTGCAGTCAGCAGTCAACATCACCAAGCTCTCTGTTGTACTTCGAGCAGAACTTTCACTGCGCACAGAATTTCAGAAGTAGACTTACAAATAAGTTGAAAAACGCAAGGAGGAACAACATGTCAAAGGATAAAGAACAGGTGCTTTATTTGGCCCGTGGGAATGGCGGTGTCACATCCAAATGCCGCTTGGGAAGATGTCATTGGCCAATTTGGCCAACAGGCGTATGCTGAACACCATGAACTGCTGACATCCAGCTTCTGTTGGATACGCCGGCGGCAAGATAACCCTGTTGCATACTGGTGATGCGGCGGGCAAAACTGGCACAAACCATGTTGCATTCCTAGGCATCCTCAGCCGTTGCATCTGTCAGTTGCGGAGTAGGGTGGCTCTCACTTGTGGAATTCAGTCCATCTGCGGCAGCTGTCCAGTCCCTCTCCATCTGCAAAGCTTCTCTCGCCCCACTGTGCTCTCAAGGCGGAAGTTGGGAGGGATCAGGCCCTTCTTGTGCAGGAAGAACAGGTATTCATCCACAGCCTCAAACGTCAACACAACAAAAACAAAGTAGGGGGGTCGAGTCGTGCGTCAAAACTGCTCTGAAAAACAAAACTGGAACAAGCTGGAACATCTAAAATGCTGGCCTGAACGAAAGCCAGCAGGTGAGAGGTGTATGTCTTCATCTTGTCCTCAAACCGCTTGCGGCGAGCACCTGATGGGTCAATATGTCGTAGCTGGGAGAATGTGTTGGCAGCTTGCACTGCAGCCTTTGACATGCCATCCCACAGAGTCTCATGTGTCTGGGCTGTGTCCCTCATCTGACTTGCGAGGTCCATGTTTGTTTGTGTCTTCTCCACGACAGCCTTCCCACGTTCTGCGTCTTTTTCAGCTTTCTCTTTTTCTTGCAAAGCCTGTTCTTTCTCGCGTTGAGCTTCGCGACGACCCACACCAGCATAGATAGAATATCCGACACAAGCTGCGGTCAAAGTGGTACCAATAACGACTCCCCAAGGGTTGAAGACAGTGACTGCCGCTGTCACCCATCCGCCCTGGGTGCCAGCAGTTATCCACGGAATGGATGCTGCTGGCACACTAGTGGCACCAGAAACCACTGCCAGAATCCCACTAGTGTCGCTCTTCTTCTTCAGCCTGTGGGCTTCCTCCTCGTACTCAGTCGCACTCTTCTGACTGTCCTCGACTTGCTGCTTTGCTTTCTCAATTCTTTCCTGGTAATCCTGAAAAATGTCGTTAAGTTGCTCCACGAGTTGTTGGAACTTCTCCAAGCCACTTGTTGCGATGCGATGTGCAGCCTCAGACTCCTGGTGCACCGCCAAGATGACATGTTTCAGGCTCTGGGGGTCCATCTGGACGTCAGGGTCCACTACCTCACAAAGCAGCTCTGCGATCTCTTGGATGTGGCCCCTCATTGGCAAGACCTGGTTGACAGAGTGGACCGAGGCAGCTTGTGAATACTTCACCTTGGTGCAGGCGTGCGACAGGTAAACGTAACATGAACCGTCAACCCACAACATGAGGCAATAAAGCAAACTGAGTTTCCGACAATCCGTTTTGCAGCGTCATGATCACGATGTGATCTCAACTCACGCTCCATTATGGACAGGTTCTCTATGGTTGTCTCGCCCTGTTTCATAGACATCTTGATCATCTCGTGCCCATCACCAAAGTAGGAAACCTCAGCGATCAACTTAACAGCATGTTGATACACTCCACAGTTTTCGCGAACTAAATCTACTAAATGCCAGATCTTAGGGCCCGGCAATCTGCCCGATGTGATTCTCCAAATGAGCAATTGGATCATTCATGTGGTCGGGTGCAGGGACATCACCAACCACGGAAAAACCGTCCAGGCTTGCTGTTGAGGACATGGGAGCAATCATCAAGCTGATTGTGCAACGAGCTGGCGGCCTGTAATGCTTCTTGGGTCAAAAGATGGCTGAGAACCAGAGATGAGCCAGGTCCCAACAACTCAGATCAAGGTCCCAACTCAGTTGTTGTTTCTTTCTTACTTCTTTTTCCGCATCAGATGGTTGTCATACCTTCTCATGCAACCTTCTGAAGCTTGTTTTCACCAAGACAAATTCAAGCTGGGCATCCGGACGGTCAACAGACGGTCCATGGCGACGAAGAAGCCAAAATAGTAGTTTCTTGTTACTAGTAGTAAGGCACCTGTTACTACTAGTAAGGCACTTGTTACTAGTAGCGATGCACTTGTTACTAGTAGCTTCTTGTTACGTTCGTAGCTTCTTGCTCCTAGTAGTAAGGCA